ACCATGTGGATTCATGGATTTTTTTTTTCACATTCTGTCTCTCACAGTTGAAGTGTACCTCTGGTGCAAATTACTGACCTCTGTCATCATTTTAGGTGGAGGAACTTGCACAATCGGTGGCTGACTAAATACTTTTTTGCCCCACTGTATAACAAGTTTTACACTGCTCAACAGTTCAAAGCTTTCTTTGGGCTCATGACGGCAAATTGAAGATAATTTGGATGACAATGAGAAATATGCTCATGGTGTGAGCGGTGAAGATACAGTGAGGTGCATGAAAAGGTTATATTAAAGAAGCCCTTCAAACCTTTAAATTCATGTTCGTGAAGCATCAAATATGAGAACACAAAGCTGTTTCTTACCGTCTGTATCGTCCACCCCATTTGTCTCCTTTTTCGCTCTCTTCTTCTTGTGCTTTGGTGCTGGAACATCTTCTGTGCACATGAAGGGATAAATAAATAAAGCTAAGTCACATAAAAAATGAGTTTGAGAAGAAATGCAACTTGTTTATTAGAAATATTTTTACCCACCTGTGTCTTGACTTCACATGTGCACAGGTCGCAAGAACAAAGAAAAGAGAGAAGAAAAGTTTAGTTTTGCTGTTTAAAGTGGACTTCGTTTGCTCATTTACTGCTTCAGTTTTTTATTCTTGGACTCTACTAGAGTCACTTTGCATTAATCAGAGTCCAAAATCATCCTCATTTATCTTATCCTGGGCTTTGGTGCAGCCCTTCAGTTCATCCCCTGTCTAAAAGCAGCTGTTTTAGCTCCTCCCCACCATAACTATATTAGAATTGACAGGTGTGTGAGGCTTTTGAGTCTGGGATGACCATATGACTGATAGCCCCTTTCTCTGATGTTGTACAGACCCAGGTAGAAAAAAATGAAGATACAGAGCAGTCTGAAGTCTGGCTGACTTATTGTGACCTCTAATTCAGTAGGTATTATTATCATTATTATTATTATTATTATTTCATTTGTATTTTGTTACATGCTTCTTTAATATGATGGCAATCTATTGCTGCCTCATCAGTGTTGAAAGTTGATCAGAGTTCAGATCTTGTGCTTTTCCACTCACTGTTTAAGGACTGACTATATATAAATTCAATCGGATTGGAAAGTTTCCTGTCCATTGTTCCTCTTATTCACTTATCTCCAAATTACTTAGTTGCTACTTTTGCCTTGTGATGTCGTGCGGGAAAACACAAAGACTGTCACCGGGATGCTCCTGGATCATTGAGACACACACACACACCCCTCTTGCATCTGCATGGCAAAAAAGCTTCATAGGTCCCCTTTAGCATTACACCACAGTAGCTGCTTGAAATGAAGATGTTTACCCACCTCGACATTGTGGGAAGAGATCGCTGGCCTCTCTGGAGAAACACAGTGAAACACAGAAGTCAGATTTCTCCCTTTGTTCACTCCTAAAAACCCCTCTAAAGAACATTTTTATTCCTTCTTTTATAGATTTGGGTTGAAGTTTAACACATTAAATGCAGTTTTTTCATTCCCAAATCAGTCACACCAAAAAAGAAACCTATGTAAAAATAATTGGGAAATAAGACCTAGAGTTATATTTTCTGAATTTCTGTCCATACCAACGGAACAACACAAGTTATGAACACATTCTAGTAAATCTAGAAACAAAACTAAACACTTTTTATGACCTTTTTATTTGAAATCCTGCAAGAACAAGACCCTAAAACTGACCCTTGGGTATACACTGCTACTAAACACACCAGAGTCTGAGAAAATCTGACTGGAAAGCTTTTTGGTGCCATCAAACGCATCTTAAACATATCTAATAACTATCACTCCTTCGGTAACAAGAACACAAGAACCAAAGAAACGTAATTTCGAAATTTAGACACAAACTGCCTGAAAGTGATATGGCTGCTCTTACAAAACAGGATAAGCCCATTATAAGGGATTATCTAAGCCACCAGCACTTGCATAACCAATGAAAAAGTTAAGATTTTAACGTAAAAAGTTCAAGAACTTTCAGTTATAACCCAGAGTCGGATAAAACAACCGAAGCAAGCATCTTACCGGCGTCTTGCTAGCCATTTCTCCCCCAAGAAACCAGCGAGACAGGAGTTAAGTGACACATGACATCCTGACTGTTTTATTCTCGGCTAAATCTGTGTTAGTACATCTGCCAGGACTGAGGATTACTCCAAGCACAGGTCAAGCCCCTTTTTCAGTGTCTTGGAGCGGCAGTGTGTAATTATGAGTGTGTCGGTGAGTAAAAACATCCAGGAAGTACTTCATCTGACGTAAACCGAGAAGGAAATCACTAAGATTTTTCAAAAATAAAAACCAAATCCCTTAAAAACAGGCTTTAAATTCACCAAGTCTGATTGTTCAAGTCTGAGTGAGGAGTTTATCAGATCTCTGGGTGCTTTTACTCGACTTTCTCCTGTTTCATTGAATAAGTTGTTGCTTAAGAGCACAAAAGAAAAAAAATGAAGGGTGGCGCAACACTTTTGCACAGGACTGTATGTCTCTAATGTCTTAATGATTTTAGTACATTTTGCGAGGTGCTACAGAAATAAAACTTATTATTATTAAAGGAAATGTAAAACCAAGTGTGGATCACTTTAATATTTCTCTAATAAGCTACTAATTCAATATTTTCTCTATCAATAACTTTTTTGTTATAATTTAAGACCGAAAACGTCTGGATAAATAAATGTGTAAATAACATAAAGTAAATAAAATGAATAAAAACCAGCCACCACGTGACAAATCAACAGGTTCTTGTTGATTTTTATTAAAAGTTATTACAGAGGAGCTACAGAGCTGTTAGCTCAGATGAGGTTTGATTTACTCACCTGTGGGAGAGGCGGCAGCTCCCTCACCCTCCGCGTCTACACAGAAAACAGGCAGGTTACAAACACCGTCTGCTCTTTATTATCATCGTTTTCGCTCTTATTAGAATTCAGAGAAAGATTACACGAAAACAGCCTTTAAAGTGAACCAGAAAACGAGCTTTCTGCCCCCACAGGTACAATTAGGAGCAAATCACGCCATCCATTTAAATTTGACCGTTATGTTGACTGTTCATGCATTATGTGTGCATATCTCTCACCGTTGCTCCTCCTGTATCCATAACCCGTTTAATATTATGCAGCTGGTAACTTTGTTTTATTCGCTTCAGTCGTTTAAAGCGAATAAATCGCTGTTTTTGTTGATTTTTCTTTTCCTTTTTTGCTTTGTTTACGCTCACTGAGCGGCGGGGTTGTGGCCCGGATGTATTTAGGAATAGTGTGACGCATTTCCGGTAGCTTAACATTTAGCAAAAATAAAATGAAAAAAAATTATTAAAATTGAAGCTTCCAGGTATTAATAATGTTTTGAAGACTACTTTGCCCCTCCCCCATTTTTAATGTCATGTAACCATGGCTGCTAATCTTATTTATTTTCTTGTTGGCTGGGAAATTACACGTTTTCTGCAATTTTAACAACTTTGTTTTGTTTTTTGAAGATATATGATATGAAAACAAATGCATAAATTACTATAAGAAGGGTGTTGCAAACTTTTATTTGTTGTTTTTTTTTAACTTTCAAGGATTAGCAAACATCAGTGCTTTGGGTGTACAGTAACATACCTTTAAAAATACAATATTTTTTTTTGTTTATTTACGTTAATTGTTCATTTTACCCACCATTTTACATGAGAATGTGTCATTTTAGGCTGGAATGGATCAAGAAATCATTTATGGCCAAAGAGGACAAACATGCTTTAGCTATATGTTTCTTTTATTGGAAGTCTGTGTACAAGAATAGGGAGGAGGGCAGGAAAAGAGGCAGTTTTGTTTGAATTTAAGTCCTGCAGGCGTCTTTTATTTGAAGAGGTGCTACATATGTTCCTGCTGACTGAAAAAATAAAAAACAAAACTGTGACAAACGGACACAAATTCAGGAATTTCTTTGAGCTTGGATCCAGCTTCATTTCATCTTTGGGGATTTGAAGAGACTTAAAGTCCAGCTCACATGTGACACACACACACACACACACACACACACACACACACACACACACACACACACACACACACACACACACACACGAGTATATTTACAAAAGCAATCACTGAATTTACATGTCACGATTTCATTTTTTAAAAACTGTACAGTAAAAAAAAGAAAAAAAAAATCACTGCTTTGACCCGACGTCCTCTCCTCTACTTTGCTCCTAGGACTCTGACGTGGGTCGAATCCAGCTGGCAGGGACCCACTGTGGCTCGTCCTGCGCCCTCATCACTGCGGTCAGCAGCTCAACGCAGGAGTCCTGCAGCTCATTGTTGATGATCACATGATCAAAGAACTGCCAGTAGTTTGACTCAATCTTCCGTGCTGCTTCCTCCATCTCCTGGAAGTCTTCATCCTGATGAAGAAAAACCAAAGATAAGACTACTTCTACTGTATGAGTGGGAGGTCTCATAGGCCGAAATAGATTTTGCCTATTCTAATTAAAACAGAAGAAGTCAAGTTGGGGGTAAAGAAAAAGTTCCTATAAAATTTGAGACCTCCCAAATCAAATCCCTTCCCTTGTGTGTACCAATATCTTTGTAATGCTCTATTGGATGAGAGCAATCACATGTGAATGTAAATAATTATCTTATTAGGAAAAAGAAATTTTTTTTCTCCAAATTAAGAGTGGACGTTTTAACCAGACAACTAAGCCCAGCGTCATACTTTGAATGGCCGGTTGACGTAGTAGTTGGTGGTGATATACGAGTCCTGTCTTGTCTCCCTGAGGCGCTCCAGAGTCGGAGGCTTAAGATAGATGACGAAGGCCCTCAGTTCGTGTGTCCTCACTGCCTGGAGGGCCTAAAGAAGGATATACAAATTTACATGAAAACACTTTTATTTATCTATTGGCTCTCTTTACTGTGTCTGAGTTGGACTTGCGTTTGGCTCAATGTCGATGACGCAGATCTTGCCGCTGTTTAAAACCTCCTTTGCAGACTCGATGCTGGTGCCGTACATGTTCCCTTTGTGCTCGCCGTACTCCAGAAACCTGCCGGACAAAAAAAAGACAGAGACAGTGGGGCTAAAATCTATCGATTGTGGCTAAGCTCTCATCAGTTCCATCTACATTCCACAACTTCATTAATGTTTTAATGTGTGCAGACAGCTGTACCTGTTGTGATAAACCATGTTCTCAAAGACTTCTCGGCTGACGAAGAAATATTCTCTGCCAGATTCCTCATATCCTCTGGGTGCTCTTGTAGTGTCTGGAGAAGGAAAAAAGAAAAATCAACCATTTAATCTGATTATTACAGAATCTGAGACAAAAACACAAAGAGCCCAGAAAGAAGAGAATGCCTAGGATTTCTCAGGCAACTCTGCTTTTTAATAGTGTTTTTGAATTCAATAAAAAATTTTCATGATGTCTGTGACTGAAAAGATGATTACATACATGGCACTGGTCCCTGGAAGATGTTTGGGTTCATCTCAACCAAACGCCTTCGAAGTTCATTCACACCTACACCAGACGGACCTGAAAAAGCACGCGCATGTTAATTGTTTGTATATACTTTCATTCAACTGCTTGTTATTGCATTAGGCATTCAGACATGATCCAGATGACCTGCTGAAGTTCAAACTGAGCATCAGAATTTTTATTGGCCAATGTTTATTGGCCAAGTATATGTGCAGACACATACAAGGAATTTGGTTCCGGTAGATGGAGGTTCTCAAGCACAGCAATGTAAATCACACACACACACACACACACACACACACACACACACACACACACACACAAAGAAGAGATAATATCCAGTTTGTCGCAGTTTTCTATGTGACTGCTTCAAGCTAATAGAAGGGCAACAATAACTCAAATAACCACTTGTTACAGCCAAGTTATGAAGAGTTTAGAAAAATGTTGCCTGGTCTGAAAACGTGGATCCATCCTCCCTTTTTATCAGCAGTTCCAGCTCGTGGTGGTGGTGGTGGTGTAACCGTATGGAGGACATTTTCTTGGCACACTTTAAGCCAGTAGTACTAATTGAGCATCATCATCGTCTTATGGCTCCTTCCAGCGGGATAACACACCATTTCACACAATCATCTCATACTGGTTATTTGAACAGCACCAAATGTGTGGCGCTGTCATGTCAATGTGGGCCAAAATCTCTGAAGAGTGTTTCCAGCACCTTGTTGAATTATGACAGCTCTGAAGATAAAAGAGCACCCACCCCGATTCTATCAAGGTGTATCTAAAAGGCTTATGAGTGTAGATGTTTGGTAAACTAAACTAAAGGACTGAAATGTTTTCTGTACCTAAGAGGACAATGAGGCGGTGTACATCCTCTGAGTGGCGCTGGTAACGAACCACCTCCTCATATGGACTGTTGAGGGCACTGTAGCAGCTGCTGGGGCAACGGGTGTTGCAGGACGGCTGGGTGGTGCTGTGAGCCCGCCGCCGACACAGACGCATGCTGCGCCTAAAGCCCGCTGATGAAAAAGAACAGATGTCAGTAGATAACCCTCAAAAATGGATCCACAACACACACAGAAACAGAACTAAACTCTAAATATACCAACAAGTTTGAGCAACATTATAAGAGAAATCATTTGCTGCTCGAGAAGGCTTACCTAAATATATTCCTTCAATGTTGCTTCTAAAGTCATCCTCCTCTGGTTTGGATTAAAAAAAAAAAAGCAGGACGTAACACGATGAGACATGTGGAAAAAAGATCGGTAACAACAATAAAAGAGATGTAAAAAAATACAGATATTTGCACACAGTGTAATTAAAAATAATTCTGCAAAACACAGTGAATAATGCAGAGCCACTCCTCATGGTTCAGACATCTTATCAGGATGCATCCTGGGTGCCTCCTACATGAGATGTTTCAGGAAAGGAATGGAGGCCTGGGACACACTGGGAAGATTACATCTCTGCAACAGCTAGTCTTCTGTGCATTTCAATTATTTTTATTTTAGGGTCAAATTACCTCCAAATGGTTTTGTTAATAATTTTTACTTGAAATTACTGAAAACTAAGC